TCATTTTCAGATCCCAGAGCAATACTTCCCCTCAGGAATTCTTTGAGAAATGAAGACTGTCTCCAAGCACAGATTTAACTGGAAAACCCAACCAGTAACATACAAGACAGCAGTAAATGAATATATTCAGATTAAATGGATATCTTTCACAACTTCTCACACATTACTAATATGTGTTAGATTTTAATTTTAAATAGAAATATCTGTAAAGCTGTCACGGTAAAGGAAATAAGCAGCCGAGTGTACTACTAAGGAGCAAAATAATTCACAGAAACCATTCTTCCTAAAAGTGTGCTCAATATCAAGGCATAGCTAATCTCTTAGGCTTTTATTAAAGAAAACTCTAAAAGATAGGGCAAAAATTACAATTTTCATTAAAAAATGATCAGGGTTTAATCCAAGTTCCTATTGATCCTTCCTCAGTAAATATAATTCAGAAGATAATTTTAATAGGGACATTATTTAGCATTTGGATCCAGGAAAAAAATCTTAAGACAAAAACTTGCATACAAATGTTTATAGCAGCTCTATTCATAATTGCCAAAACTTGGAAGCAACAAGATGGCCTTCAGTAAGTGAATGGATAAACAAACTGTGGTACATCCACACAATGGAATATTCAGTGATAAAAAGAAGTGAGCTATTAAGCCACGAAAGACATGGAGAAACCTTAAATGCATATTGCTAAGTGAAAGAAGCCAGTCTGAAAAGGGTACGTACTGTATGATTCCAATTATATGACATTCTGGAAAGGGAAAACTATAGAGACAGTAAAAAGGTGAGTGGTTGCCAGAGGTGAGGGGGTGTGGGGAGGGGGAGATGAATCAGTGGAGCACAGGGGATTTGTAGAGCAGGAAACTATTCTGTATGATACTGTAATGGTGGATACATGATATTATGCATTAGCTAAAACCTCAAACACTGTATAACACAAAGAATGAACTCTAATGTAAACCACAGACTTTAGCTAATAATAATATATCAATATTAGTTCATAATTGTGACAAATGTACCACACTAATGCAAGATGTTAATAATAAAAGAAACTGTGAGGGTGGTGGTGGTGGAGGGAGTATGTATGTGTGTGTATGTATGTGTATATATACATATTATTATATATATATGAACTTTCTGTGCTTTACGCTCAATCTTACTGTTACTCTAAAACCTACTGTAAAATATAAAGTCTATTAAAAAAAATCTTAAGACAGTTTGAAGAGGAAAAAGACTGGTTAACCTGAACAAAGAGAGAGGTGATTCCATATTGTAGAATGGTGTGAATTACTACCATGTCACACATTAGTTTATTATGGCATATTTTTAATTGAAATAATATGTGTATAATAAAACACCAGGATATTAGTGTATAATTATCTTTATCTCAGAACTCGAGGGGACCTTAGAGATGAATAAACAGGTTTAGATAAACTTAGAAATTAACCAATCGTGACTATCAAACACTCCAAATGTTCCTGAGAAGAGAAAACTGTGTTTGGTTTCCGCTAGGGCAAAGTGAATGTGTTAAAGTAAGTGCTGTGGAAAAAAACCATTTTACAGTCACTAAGGATGCAATAAAAAGTCTCCTGAAATTTTTATTTACATTAACACATTGGAATGTACCCCAAATTACTACATATGCCTGTACCTAAATGGCTCAATTTAACCAGTGCTCATCTTACAGACTCTTCAAGTGTTCCTAACACAATTTCTTTTTTTTTTTTTTTTTAAGATTTTTTTATTTTTTCCTTTTTCTCCCCAAAGCCCCCCGGTACATTGTTGTGTATTCTTCGTTGTGGGTTCTTCTAGTTGTGGCATGTGGGACGCTGCCTCAGCGTGGTCTGATGAGCAGTGCCATGTCCGCGCCCAGGATTCGAACTGACGAAACACTGGGCCGCCTGCAGCGGAGTGCGCGAACTTAACCACTCGGCCACGGGGCCAGCCCCTTAACACAATTTCTTTATCAACACAAATGATCCACCTTTTCAGCTATTTCAAAACTCAGGACAATAAACATTCCACCGGCTCATTAGAGAGGTGGGGCAGCCCGGGGTTCGGAGTGTGGGTGGTGCATTTAGAGTGCTTGGGTTCAAATCCTGGTTCCACCACTTGCTGGCTGGGTGACCTTGGCCAAGTTACTTAACCTTCCTTGGCTGTTGTTTTCTCATACGTAAAGCAGGGACAATAGCAATACTTAGCTCATAATTAAATGAATTAAGGCACATAACTCACTTGCACAGGGCCTGGCACATAGCTGTCAAGCGTTAACTTTTATTAGTTCTAACGAACCGATTTTAGGAGACCATGACTATGTCATTTTCAGGATCATCTATGATGATTCTTAAGGTTGATGACTATGTGAAGATACCTCCATGGTGATACTTCTGCTACTCTGGGATAATTAAACGTTTAAATGTTGGTCTCTTCCACTGGATTGTAAACTCAGTGACAGCAGAAACCAAATCATGGTCATCCTTGTTAACAAAGTACATTTAAGGAAGTATTTCTCAGAATAAAAAAACCACACTGATTTACTTCTTATTGGGAAAGAAATTTTAATTCAGCTAAAATACATACTGTTGAAGTGAAAATTTCTCTTTATTTCAATTAAAAGAGAAAACCAGATAAAGTTCTAATCTATAATACTTTGGCCAAATAATATTACTTAACTTTTAAAATCACCTGTGTCTTAAAGTGTTTCCCCTGGGGAGACTTGACTATACTGGGATATTTGGTTGAAATGCCACCATGTTGAAAACAGAGAAAACAGCAAACTTCAGGTTTAAACTGAAAATCAACTGTAAGCTGAGATCCACACCATTTTTAGTTGCTGAGAGTTCTAATTCACAACACAATAGTCCCAGGTAACAGATCCAACCTTCACTTCTGGTTTTGAAGGGCTCTGGTGAATGCAGTGAGTGTGACTTTAGCTACTGTATCAAAGACTGATATTTATTTAACCAAGATGGGAAATAAAGGTTCGTGATACTGGAAGAAGTAATAAAGTTCCCATTCTCATGTAAACTACCCAAAATAAACATCAACGGCAGCAAACCAGAAAAACGCCCCAAAGAGGAGAAGAATGGCCTCTAAACAGATGGCCTTCTCTGTTTCATTTTAAGTAACAGACAAGTATTTAAATTATTCTCTACTGAGACTATTAAAATAGCTTTGCTATTGCTATCAGAATGGAATTTCAGATCCACTTAATTTCAAGAAATTGACTCAAATTCAAATCACAGATCTGGTGTATTTTAAATGGTGCTATGTACTCTATGCACTATTTTTGCTGATTATAGCATTGAAGTAGCTGGACTCAGATAATTGAGTTAATCGTATTAAATCAGAGATGCCAAATTAATTTCTTAGACTTGTTCATGAATAGCTCTAAAATTATTATGAGCCTTGATGATTGAAAAACTTTCCCATTTTCTTATCATTCATTGGTGACATAATTTAGATCAGATATATATTTAGACTACAAGATCCCCAGGATTACAAAATCAGGAAGAACGCTAAAGGGCATCTAGTCCAATGTTCTCCTTCTCTAAACAAGAAAAAGAGGCCCAGAGAAGCAGAGGAATGTAGTAGTTAAATGTTTGGGCTCTGGAGTCAGACAGACCTGAGTTTCAGTCCCAGATGGGCAAGTTATTCACTGTGTGGCCTTAGGAAGGTTCCGTAACCTCGCTAAACCTCAGTTTCTTCATCTGCAACATGAGGATAATAATTGTAGTAATCTCATAGATTAGTATAAGATTAAATGAGATAAACATGCAAGGTACTTAGCACAGAAGACTGGCACATTGTAACGACTGAGTAAATGTTAGTAGTTATTATTCTTATGGCTACAAAGTGACAGGTAAGGCAAATAAGCAGCAACAGAACTAGAACTTAAGAGTTCCTGACACATATCAGAGCTTTTTCATTTAAACATGATCCCCGGGATAAAGATTCATTTGTCTGACAATTTAAGTACAACTCTACATCAGACAGGAGGATAACTGTTTCAGTCTCTCTGCTACAGAACTGATAAAAATATTAAATGGGCGACCACATATTGAGGTCTCAATTTCATGAAGATTCAAGCACATTTAGCTTTCCATGAGCAATGGATATTACATGTGTACCTCCACAACTGTTTTAGTTCAATTCTATGTTTTTAAATACTTCCCACTAAAAGCTGCTCATATAGAATAAACGACAAGGCATATATTGGCCTCAAATAAAAGTTAGGGTTCACTGGGTAATGATCTTAAATTTGACTCTAGTTAGTTGCTCTATGGGATAAGTCCAATATTCTTAATTTGTACTGTCAGATATTGCAAAGAATAAGAGAAGAACAGAAAGAGAAAAATAGAAAGAGAAAGCAAGAATAAGAAATACAGGAAAGAAAAAGCTAAAGTGGGTCTGCAGTATGAATGAGACTTGGTTTGATTAATATAGGCCCCCCAAAAACACAGGCATTTGGAAATGCCGCTTTTGCCAACATTTACTGTCCTAAAGGATTCAACTCAGAGTTGAATGTTTTTCTCACACTAAAAAAATGAATAATTAAGAAGCCTCATAAAGAATATTTGTTTTATATAACAGGCTCTCAATACTTCTGCATTTGATAATTTTTAATTAATTGGCTGGTTTTTTCCCAGTAAATATTCTCAGACTGTCAAATGGGTGCCTAAAACATTCTCTTGTAATAAACTAAGGATTACTTTTTCTTATTATATGGAGAATAATCAATGTAAATACAATTAACTCTAAATCTTTAAAAATAAGAGTAAACGCAAAAAGGTATAAATATATAAATACATAGACATCGACTCAAACTACAGTGAGAGAAGCTCATGTATAAACATGAACAAAGCTCAAACACCTTTTTATGTAACACCAATGTGATTCAGCAGACCAACAGATGAAGAAAATAGTAATTTGAAAAGCGGCAATTTGTATCCATACCCGGTATTTAGTATTTCAGCACTAGAAATAAAATCACTTGGCAAACTTACCCGCATTTTTGCACAAGCATCTTGGGTTGATTCTGTCCCCCTGAGCTCTTTTATCAGCATAGAACCTAAATACTAAAATACAAAAAAATTCAATGATATATGAAAAACAGAGTATAAATATGAGTAGTGATTTAAAAGCAAATTGTGGAAGTACTACTGGCTAGGTTTCCTGGCTATAAGTTATCGCACAACTTTTAAAAACTAGCAGTAACTAATCCTAACAAATAAATGCATTTATGGAGAGAAAGCAGCAGAATTAACCACAGTTCTGAAAGCTGGAAATTGCTCTTTATAATAAAACTGCAGCATTTTCTAAAGATGCCATCTTTCAAATCATATTTAACTGCAAAATGGGGGCATCTAAAAATGTTTTCCCTTTTTTTTTGAGGCAGCAATGTCTGCAAAAATAAATCACACTACTATCTATGTAATTACAGGGTTGTATGAGACAGCTGAGAGGCTGAGCAACATGCCCCCCATTTGGGCTTAGTTGGCTGCATAGGTAATTAACTTTAGGCCCTTCTAAGGCGGAGATGCAGTTTGGGACCTTTTCATTCACAGCTGTGCGCCCTGTGGTTGATCCACCTGAGAATGGGATGGGAGCGTGCAGGGAGGGCGAATGCCATTCTCAGTGGTTCCACAGAGGAGACAGCTGAGGTCTGGTGCAAACTGATGCTGAATGGGGTAGGAGAAGGATGAGAGAGTCTCCTCCCAGGAATTGCCCAACACTTTGCTGATAGATGATTGGATCCAATACTGCCTTGGTACAATATGCCACTCACGCTCCAAGTTCTGGCTGGGGGCAAATTGTTTTTAGCAAAGTGTCTATTTTGTCTTTCTATCAGTTGACTTCTCCTCAACTTCTTGAAGCTTCAATAGGGCTCCTTTCTTTTGTCATTTTCCATCTCTAATTTTACCCGCCCTCCCCCCCCAAAAAAGAGCGCCATATGTCTTCTTTGAAAAAGTGAATTAAAATAATTATTTTCCTGACGTGACTGAGGAGACCCTGGCACTCTGCCAAAATGGGGCTGGGAATGAGTCCTGTAGACCCAGGAGTGCCGACCTGAAGAGGACGTGCCAGGGCACTACAGCAGAGGGAGTGGTCAAGGGCCTGGAGGAAAAGTATGTTTGGAAAGGCTCAGGGATTTGGCGTCTGAGCTTTGGAAGAGGAAGGGGGCATCAATCAAACACGGTTTTTGGGACATTACTATTGAAATAAATCCAAAGCTTCAAGATAAGTAAGCAGTAAAAGAGGTGAAGATGGCATAAAATGAAAAAAAGCCGAAATTGCTATGAGATAACCAGAATGCCCACATCTTAATCAAATTAAGGAAAATAATCTTGGCGAAATCCTTACCTTTTAAGTTATCAGGAAAGTTTGTCCTAATGGAAACGTTTCTTTCGATGCACTGCCGAGGGTTCGGCCACTTTCCCTGCTGTAGTCATAACCACCACCACTGTCCCTACAACTATGGTATCTTTTGAACATTTACCTGTTCATATTACAATTCTCAGCCAAGCCTGATTCCCTCTCCTATTAAAAAAATACCCAGAAATATACTCCTAATGATGATAATGAAAGAATCTGGTATTTATATAAAGTGGTAGACCCAATGTTCTGAGATCACGGATGAGTGGAGATGTCTATATACGCTATCTTTATACTCATTTCCATTTTAAGATTGCACTTTATCACATTTCATTTAAGATATACAATTATATAAGAAGACAAAACAGACAAGCTTACAGAATTAAAAGGGTTTTTGTAAAGCTCTATTTATTTGGACTTTCTCTGTGGATAGAAGGCTACTTTAAGAAAAAAAGAAGGGGAGAACATTCTAGGAATTTCAGTGATGGACATTTTGATGTATTTTCAATATAAAAGTAAACAAGCCGGAAATATATACCCTCTATGCCCACTAGTACCCAAATACTGAATTCAGGGTAACTTACAAAAGCTTTGTAATCACACGACTGGAAGATGAGCTTTTCCGGGTGGTGCTGCCAGTATTGCACGGGTGTTGAGGCTGTGGCTTCATTTGGAGGTCGCAAGGTAATGGAAGGTTCTCCCCAGTCTCCTGTCTGAAAATCACATTTATTCTAGAGGTAATATGAGCAGTAGGCAAAGATCATTTCCTATAGCTAGCCTGAGTTCCACTTACACATGTGTGCTCTAAATGTGTAAATGCATTTGGGTGTATTCTATGTATGTAAATACTTTTACTGTTTATTACGGTTTTATATTCCTCAAAGCTGAGTTAACTTTTATGAAGTGAAAGAAGTTCAATTATTCTACTTTTAGAATGACATTCTAAGCTAAGTAATTTTAAAATAAAACATGAAGATATTCATAAGTGATTTACTAATTCATAATTTTCTCTTACACCAGAAAAGAACATAAATCTTTGAAAGACTTTTCTGTTTTTAACTTGACTATTTGAAATTTTTAGTTTGAATTGCTTCTATGTTCAGAATATACAGTTCCATAAATTTTAGTTCCCAAATATGACATGTATCACGTACTTTGAATAAATTTATATCTCTGGAGAAAAGTATTGTGTGATACTAAACAAATTTTAGAAGAAAAATTTACTAATAGATGACAACAAGTTTCCCTCATCTGAATTCACTTGTATTGATATAATGCCACTGTGATTGTCTTGGATGTATTCAGCTACCTTCCTCAGAAAATCTAATGTGCAAATGAAGATTAAACATTTAAATACCAAGTTTGGTCATATGTGCATATGCATGTGCTTGAGGATCCTGATTCACAGATACAAGCACATTCACATATGATGGTATGTCATATAATACATATGCCCACTCAGACAGACCTAAGACAGATGGACATCCCATCATTTTATTATTTTCCATGAGGTTAGCCTTGATCTGTTTTATTACTGTACCAGTTTAGTGTGAGCATCTAGAAAGTCAAGGGCCCATGTTGGCAGGTCTTTTCTGGGCTCTGGGCTGATTTAGCAGTAACACATGGGCGATTTCTCACTCTTTTTTGTGGTAAAGATTCTGATATTTTGAAATTCAGTTCTTTGTTCTCAAATGGACGTGACTAAAACTAGACAATAGGCAGATTTCTAAAGCCATTCTCTTCTAACCTGGATTTGGTTGGTCTTACAGATTTACTAGCAATTACATTTCTCAGGAGTTGGAAGAGTATAAAAAGGTCTCATGAGCTCTAAAACCAAACAACCTTGGCTAGAGATCAAGCTCCACAGAAAGACTAGCAAATGGATTGACATTATAGGATTTCTTAAAGAGAATTTTCAAGGAGTCTAGGATGTGAACGCAAAATTTTGGATGTAGGTATATGTTTTGGGGGAAAAAGAAAGTCCATAGCTTTCATTAAATTCCTTGAAAGGATTTAGAAACCCTAAAAGGTTAAGAACCACAATTTTCCAGGAATAGCTAGGATGTGTGTGAGGGGAAGAGGAGGAGCATTCCAATTTTCTCTGTGTGGTTTGGATTTACATTAGGTGAAATATGAGGTGGCTGACAATGCTGGAAAGTGTTAGGCATAGGCTTTTCCTTCTGGACATTTCTAACTTGCTTTTTTTAAAAAAAGAGAAAATTCTAGAGCCCCTCAGGAATGCACAGGCTTTTTCATAGAGGCAGAGAGCTTGAAGCTTTTCTCCTTGAGATGGATCACTCCCAATCACAGGAAGAACAAAGTTAGCATCATGCTATTTCCTTGCTTCTCACTGGAGGTGTGTGACCAGTCAGAATGCCTGTAGCTCTTCTCTCACGCTCTATTCTGAGCTACTCTGCACGTTACTTTTCCTAGTTGCTGCTTTACTTACATATGGCTTGGTTCTCCTATCTTCGGTCTGTTGACATTAAGAGTTTACCTGGAATATTTACTTTAGAATTTTTAGACAAAAATGCTATGTTTTGTGACTCATCCCTGACTCATTCTTGAGTTTTCTCTTTATATGACTTTTTATTGTGTAAAAGCAATAACTGCCTGCAATTAATTTTAGGATTAAGTTTTCCTCTGAAATCCTATTTTGATTCTTTCTTTTCCTTCTCTCAAAAGCCTGGATCTTTACTATCTCTCCAGTCTTTATTTCAACTGGCTGTGATTTGCTCTTAAAAAAAAAAAAAAACTAGCGTGAAATTCAAAATGTAGGATATGCAGATTTCAGTATTATTTTAAAGCTGAGTGTAATAACCTTTAAATGATAATAGTTAAAACTCTGGAATCATGCAGCCATGAGTTCTTAATTAAAAGCTCTTCCAAAATCTAGAAAATCATCCTCTAATCTCCTCCATTAACCTTCTCCCCCATTCTCCCACCTCCCTCCATAAAGCAATAACAACATAGCAAACAGGTGTTGTACATTTAAGTCACAGGGAACATCGTTAACAGAACAACAGAAGTTTGCACACAACTCCGTGGAATGATACAAAAGGAGGAGCTGGTTGACATCAAAAGATCCTTCGATCCAGTGTCTGCTCACGTGACAACTCAAACCAAGCATCAGATCTTCACGTTAGCCCTGTCATAGTTTAGCTGAGGTATACACTGGCCAAGCTCAAGAGGCAGTTTTCAAAAAGGCCTGAACAGACATGGCATGAGCTGGGTACCATGGGTTGTGGGGCAAGGGTTGAGAATAGGGCTGGGGGTGGGGATGGGGGGGATGAAGCTGGGGTTATGGGGACACTTCAGGGGTTAGTACACTAAGCATGCAAATCATATGCAAACTCATTCTCTAATTGTTGAATTAACTCAGGCACTTTTATAATTAAACTTCAATGTGAGTTTCATACACTTAAAGCAGAACTACAGCCAAATGCTGATCCAAATATTTACATCATCCACATGAGTCTCAGCAGCCATTTTGGGAATGACAAGCCCCAGCACATACCACCTCAGTCTGGAAATCATCCCAACCTCTGATTTGATAACCACATGAAGAAGTTCGTGGCGCATCCATTTAACTCTGTTTAGGCAGTGCCATCATCTGCTCTCCTATGACTCCACTTTGTCCAGGAACCACAAACCACCTGCTTTGAATCCACCGTGATGTGACAGGGCCTCCCTTACGTGTTATGGAGGGAGATAATTACAGTGAAGAGAGATACAATCCTTATTTTATTTTCTTTGTGGCCTTGAAACATTTCTCCAGTCCAAATATTTTTTAACTCCCTACAGGGACTGAATCTACCTTTCTGGAAATAGAAACTGAGTTTTGTCATACTTGTTGCTATTTCCAGAAATTCATTTTCAAATACAGGAAAAAGCGTTCTTAAGATTGAATTGATAGGAAAATAATTTTATTTTCCTTCCTGGAAATTCATCATCTCATTTTTTCAACCTTAGATCTAACAATATCTAGGAGACTCAGCTTGTAGGTGTTGGTTTTTCTCTTTGGAATTAATTTAATGGGAATGGATGGATTTGGCCTTATGCTATATTGTAAAGGGCAAATACGGCCGTGGCCAGGAGTCAGCTTCACCTGGTCAGCTGACAATAGAAAAAAAAAAAAAGAGTTCCGAGAACAAGGGTGCCTTAGGTCTCAGCCCTCCTGGAGGCCGAATGACAGCAGGAATGCGCTGTGGAGGAGCCAGGTAAAGCAGTGACTATATGGAGTCGCAGAAGACACCAAAGAGCAAATAAGGGCTTTCGTCTCATATATAAAATAATTTCAAACGGTGAAGCCCAGTAGTAGGTCTTGTTAAATAGTACATTCATAACCGATAATACCTGTATTTCGTCACGTAAATTTTAAAAATGAATAACTTCCCAGTTTAAAAAGTGCTCATTAAATATTAAATAAAAATCGAACAGACCTAAAAACTCTTTTGCCACAAATACTGGTTTGAATCATAGCTTATCATTAACGAAAAACAGACCTAAACATGGGTAACAGTGATGCAATAATATTTCATTAGAATAACAGAATAAAACAGGAAAAGCTTGGGGTAAAATTCTGTCATATTTTACACTATTACAGACTGGCAGTACTCTTTAAAATGCTTATGTAATTACAGAAGAGAAATTAAAATGATTCAAGGCAGTCTTACTAAATATCTTCAGGCTATTTCTTTAGAGCTTAAAATACTTAGAGAAAACCTTTCCTTTAGGTTCATGTATTGAAGGATCTTAATATTACAAGAACTTGATCATGGCTTAAAACTTCATTTACTTTGTATGTCTGTATGTCTGTATTTTCTTTAGGATAACTAAACAGAGGAAAATGTACACCATTAACTATCCCTTCAATTTTCAAATAAAAATTAGTCTTCTAATATAAAGGAAAAACACCACTTGAGATTAGAGTTTCAAACAAAGAATTGATTCTGTTTAACAGGTATTCCAACTGCCAACTAGAAATTCATAGCCTGGCTGAGTTTGAAGGATTATATCTGGGCCATACCTAATATAATGTAATTTAATTAAATGTCTCAAACCACTGACTGGAAAGTATAAAACCACTAACTGACTTCAGTTAAAACACACACGAAAAATTCACAAAGTCTATAGATAGATTTTTATTGAATGGCAGATTCCAAAATGCAGTTTTAAAAGTTTGCATTATTTCAAAAGCAGGTAAAACTGCATGGTTTTAGATCATATGCACCAGATTCCTATGGCAAATTCTAAAAGATCATATCATATAGCTCTCTACCAAGAAAGAGAAACTGAAGATATCACATATATTATCTGCTCTGAGAGTAGAAAGGGGAAACATTGTCTATATTCTTATTTTCTTCTTGAGAAAAAAGTTTCTTAAGGATGTCAGTAAATAATTAAAAGCCATGATTATGACTCAGCTTTCTAACATGAACAGAAAGGTCCGGTATTTTCCAAGCCTTGAATTATTCTTTTAAAAATTTTTTTAAATTAGGATTTAATTGAATTTTTTTAAAAATAGAAGCTTTTAAGTCTTTTGTACTGAGGATTGCTCCCACCTACCTGCTTGTAAATTTAGATCTGACTATTAACAAACATTATTCTTTGCTTCTTCAGAACACTTAATGAAAAACTAAAATGATTTTAAATGACAATTGTTATTTTAAGGTTTCACTTTCAATAATTCTGACAAGTATCAAAAATGGGCTACCCAAACATACATAAGATGTATGTGCTTGTATTTATATTCCATTATCTCTAAGGCTTTGAAGAATGCTACAGACAGCTCCATGCTTATAAATATGCATACATGTATTTGGAGGTGAACGTAAGGAAGGGCCTCCTACAAACAATTACACACACACATGAAAGCAGGATCCTGTAGTAGTTCTTTTGAAAAATCTTCAAGAATAAAGAATGCTAGTTTGGTCAAATGCAGTTGGTTAGACTGAATTTGTTCCTTTGGTGATAAAGAGCAGAGATGGCCACTTCTGAACGTGAAAAAGCACTGGTTAACATTTACAAGTTCAGGAGGAACTGCTGGGTCCCCGGAGCACCAGTACCAGGCAACGGATAGACCCCACGGTCCCCAAGAGCCAGAAGTCCCATGCACAGGAGGAGGGGTGTGCCTGATGCGGCACCCTGAAAGAGGCCTTTCACATGCCAACCCAAGAGCTCTGCTTAATGATTCTCAACCAAATGTCTCAACCTCTCAGACAGCAAGCTATCCAAAGGGAAAAATTTAACAGGAGGTGAAAATAGGATTGTATTTTAAAATACAAAATGAGAACAAAACAAACATTAAAATGTTTACTTTCCAAACAAAAATGTTTTTTTTAAAGTATGCAAAGGTAAAAGGTGAACATTTGAATATTAAGCAGCTCAGAGTAAAGTGGGTCATGATTTGTATCGTCAAATGGAAAAAGGCTGAGAACCACTTTGTAGCTGTAATAGTGCCTCTCCTGGCTACACTCCTCCCACATTTGCATAAAATTTATGCAGAATATCATGCAAATCATACTTGAATATTTCTCACAAGTGAAGCGCACGAACCTTTGAGAATTGTTAGACACAGTGGGTTGAATAGCCCATGAACATGAGGAAGTACAGAACGAGGAAGAAAAACACCGATATATACATGTATATATATATATATCTATTTACCCTTTTCCTTTCTCCTGTAAAAGCAAGTTAAAACAGACACCTGGGATGAAAGCCAAAACTCACATGGGACAGATTTTAACCATAGACTTTAAAACCAAGTATGTTTCTCATTTTAGGACAATGTTTGCACATCAACTCGTCACAAGGCACAGGAAATGAAGTATAATAGACGAAATCTCAGGAGTCATTAGACATCACAAATTTTCTGCATTGCCAGGACATAGTCCTTATAGCTATTGACAACACTTTGCAACACATTACATAGCGCAAGTTCAGGAAGAGAAAATAACCATTTGTAACCTTACATTATGAACCTGATGGATGGCTGAGAAAGGAAATCCAGCGTTCTGATTGGTCCATATCTCACAGACAGACGACTGCTGATATAAACAGAAAACTATCTCATCTTGTCAATATTTAAAACATGGCAGCTACCAAGGCAGTATCAAGGAAGGGAAGGAGGAAAATAATAAAAACAAAGAATCACATTTCTTAAAAAAAAGAAAAACAACTCAAAAAATGTTTTGACGGTGCTCAAGGTTTAATCATTGACTTTCAAGTCATTCTTTTGCTTAAAAACATTTTGAGTTGGCTGGAAAAAAATGACCATTTATGCATTAGTTTTATATCAAGGAAAACTACTAATACATCACATCTTGGAAAAAGCAAAATGCTGTTTACATTTGCCAAAGAGATGGGAAATACCTTCCCTCTTCACGTCATTCATTTCAGAGGATAAACAGTTTCACGAAGTTCAAGAAAGATGAGAAAAAGCATTTAACACAGGTCAAACATTTTTATTTTCTTATCTTCAAATGACTAAGAGCAAACACAATAAAATGACTTTCTTGATTTAGTCATTGCTCCATTTGATAAACCTAAAGGATATTTTTCCCACCAGAGTTCTCAAGGGCAAAACTGTGCTTAACAAGAGGAGAAGTGTCAGTTTGCCACCCAGCAGTCGGAGCGTGGGGTGGCGGAGGTGGCAGGAAGGAGGCTGGCACAGGGAGGGGTTGGGGTCGGGAAGCTCAGTTCTGTTACTCAAGCAGAATTTTTGGGGGAACAGCATTTGTCAGCCTAATGAATCAGCTCCAGAATTCGGACTCCCCCCCACGCCTTTAACAATCTAATACCTAACAGCTATTAAAAGGCAATAATATTTGCTTAGAACCAAACGCCAAACTAACCAACACCCCCTCCTAGGAGTTACAGCAGAAATCACCAAATAAACCAACCTGGCTCCTGGCTTGACCTTTTAAAGAGTTCTTTTCATGAATGCCATCATTCTAAAAGACATGGTGAAACTGAATCACAGAAAATCGCAGAGCAACTAAAGTTATTCAGCAAGCACTGTGACCATGCCCAGAATTCACAAACAGGCCACACAAAGATGAGTGCAGGAAGGAGATAACAACATAGCCACTAGATGGTTTAGAAACTCAGCAAAGAACAACAGCACCAGAAATGAACTACGGAAAAGAAAGCTTATCCCAGGGTCAATGATTCCGCTACTTTCACCCTCCCAGAAACACTCACCAGAAATTTAACATCTCCCTCTCCAGTTACGATGGCATCTCCACACACATCTACGTCTTTGCTTCCCATCCCTTCTGCCATCTGGATGGCTTGCTGGGGACAGACTGTCAGGTAACTGGCATTCTGTTAAGGACGCAAGATCCCCAGGGTCTGACCAAAAGGCAACTCCAACCACTTCCCACTTAAAGCAGCTCTGCTATTCTCAGTTCCCTCTCTAAACTTCATGCTATTTTCTTCACATGCTATTTTCTTCCTCTTCCTACCTTACGAAAATTAATTCCCTAACAAGTTTTAGGCCCATTAAACCCCAAGCCTCGTCTCCCATGGCTGTCAGCTGATTTAACTATGCTAACGCCATGCTTTTAGTAGGATTACCATCTCAACCGGCACAAACCATACTTCTAGGATACCCTTGACCTTTTCAGCACTTTCACCCACAGTTCTGAGCTAATTCTTTTACATAAATCACAGCCTCTACAAGGTTCACAGACAGTGCTAGAAGTAACCCAGGGACCACCTGTCACCTGACAGACGAAGACAATGACATTCAGAGAGGTGAGGTGGCTTGCTCAGGTGGCACAGGGGGAGTGCCACATGTCAGCCTGCCAGGATGGTTAGGAAGGACTGCCAGTCCTTACTGACGTCATCAGAAGTCAGAGGGACTCCGCAGTTCTATGGAACTTGTTTTACTGATCCTGAAACAAGTATATAAATGGAAGCAGTCCATGGAACAGCCTCAACTCCACATGGGTTCAAATACCTGAAAGTGTTACTGTTTTCCAATCATTACACCCAAATGGGCCAGGCCCAGTCTCCCCTCCTTGGTAAGCACCAGGCCACTTGACATTCTGGGTAGACCGCATAACTTCCTGGTCACTTGAGTCAATAAGAAATCATTTTACATAAAACTTCAATATCATATCTGATTCAAACTTTGCCCTCCCTCACCATGGGCCAGTCTTGGGGCTTAAAAAACCTACGCTGGCTGAGACAGGCTTGATCTCCATTTTGTCCTCTCCTGCTCTTACCCCAGGAGTAGGGGGGTGTAGGTGGTATGGTCAATCTTGGATGCCCCCTACCCCAAGCTCTACCTCCCTCATGCCCTTAGTTGGGGGGGAGGGTACAGAAGGAGGACGAGAGCCTCCTCCTTACCTGGCTCTGGCTGAATTCTCTCTGATAGTTGTCACTGCTTCTCAGGGTAACACTAACTTGGCCTCTGATGCCCTCTTGTGAGCAGGTGCCCCAGTCCGGGTTCTACTGTGAACCCGGGTGAGTTTTTTGGAGGGCTCTGCTAGGGTAGCGGGTTAGGTCCCCACTGCACAGTACCTGACGTGAGAAATATGGCTCTAGCTTAACTCCCTCCAAGCCCTACTGAGCCCTCCTAGCACATATGCCGCCCCTTGGGTGGGACGCACGGGAGAGGGTATAAGCCTAGCCTCCGCCTGCAGGCCCGTCTGCATCACACATGTACATCCTTACCACAGGCTGCTCTGTGACTACTCCCGCTTTCTGCCAGGACATCTCCCTCCAGTTCTCTCTTTTTCAGCTCAGGTTGCTGCTACATGCATCTGCCTGCCAGAAGTTCAACTGTGGAAAGAGATGTCAGTTTCCCCTTCTGGCAGGCTCCCCCTCTCTGAATGAGCATTCCTCTTGGAACCCTTCTCACTAGGCTTGGTGTGTGTGGGGATGCACTCTCTCCTTTCCCTTGGGAAGGGAGGAACAGCCTCAGCTCTTTCCACAGTGGCTCAGACAATTCTCTGCCCTGCCCTGGCACCAACCTTCTGCCTATCTGCATAGATAGCCGACTGTGGCAGGACAGGACTCACTATCTCTTGGTAAATCTTGAACGGGGTATCTGGGTCCATTATTGGCAGCTTTTTATTTAGAATGTGCAGTACTTAGTACCTATGGGAAATTTCCCACTTAGCATCCTATTATACGAACATATCTTCCAATAGTCACAGAAAGTTACCAGAGAGTTAAGGAGGGAAGAGAAGGTCTTATGCCATACTCATTTTATTTAAAAAAAATCCATATAAAAATTTTCTCAATGAAGAAAAAAATCCCATCTCGAGCCATAGACACTGAAGAAGGTTCATACGTGGCTTATACGGTCATGCACTGCATAATGAGTCAACAACAGGCCATATATTTACACAATGGTGTCATAAGGTTAGTACCATGTAGGCTGGGTGTGTAGTAGGCTATACCATCTAGATTTGTATAAATACACCCTATGATGTTTGCACAATGACGAAATCATCTAACAATGCATTTCTCAGAATATGTCCCTGTCGTTAAGCAATGCATGACTGTATACATTTTAAACAAGTTACAATAATAATTTTTCACTTATAAGCTATGTTTTAAAAAAAGTAAAATCTCTATAATTTCCAATAATTATGTGACTCAATACAAATGGTGAAAAGTCAGACTTTTAAAACAGAGTTTAGGGGCCAGACCCGTGGCCAAGTGGTTAAGTTTGTGCACTCTGCTTTGGAGGCCCAGGGTTCGGATCCTGGGCGCAGACATGGCACCACTCATTAGGCCATGTTGAGGCAGCATCCCACATGCCACAACTAGAGGGACCCACAACTAGAATATACAACTATGTACTGGGGGGATTGGGGAGAAAAAAAAAGCAGGAAAAAAAAAAGAAGAAGATTGGCAGCAGTTGTTAGCTCAGGTGTCAATCTCCAAAAAAAACCAAAAGAAACCCAGAGTTTAGGGCCTGGCCCTGTGGTTGAGTGGTTAAACTTCTGAGTGCTCTGCTTTGGTGGCCCAGGTTTGTGAGTTCAGATCTCGGGTGCGGACCTACTTTACTCATCAGCCATGCTCTAGAGGCAACCCACATACAAAAAATAGAGGAAGATTTGGGGCTGGCCTGGTTGTGTAGTGGTTAAGTTACCTTGTTCTGCTTTGGTGGCCCAGGGTTCACTGGTTTGGATCCTGGGCACAGACCTACACACGACTTATCAAGCCATGCTGTGGCAGGTGTCCCACATATAAAGTAGAGGAAGATGGGCATGGATGTTAGTTCAGGGCCAATCTTCCTCAAAAAAGAAAAAATAGGGAAGATTGGCAACGGATGTTAGCTCAGGGTGAATCTTCCTCGCCAAAAAAAAAGAGTTTAAAATAAAGGCAGTTAATTGTGTTTTACTTATAAAGATTGTTAAAGGAAAAGCTGATACATTTCAGATAGTACAGTCATTCTGTTGTCAGCAAATAATTATCAGGCTCAGAACACAGTAATTTAAGGTGGGCCAGCTATAACTGGTGACTTCATAATATGAAATGGCTCTTCTTCCAGACATGTGGTTATTAGGCTAAGGGCTGGAAAGAATTTTTTAAATGCAAAAGAGTTTCCACTACGGAATTTCATTATATTTATGAAGATAACATTTCAGGGTACAACATTATTGAAGTACTGAGTGTTGAAAAGTTTTGAGAAAGAAAATACCAATGACAAAGTCTCATCTGGGGTCCAAATTCCTAGAACAGTAGAGATTTAAATCTAAGTTTTAAGTAAGCTTTAGAAACTCTTCATCTGTAAAGAATAATGATAGTTCTTGACCTACTTATTTCATCAGGTTGTTGTGCAGCTCATGTTAAGTTTCATGAGAGAGGGAACTTTTTCACAGCTAAATTCCTAGGACCTAGAACACAGAAGGCCACCACACATATTTACTGAATGAATGGAATCATAGAATGTGCTCAAAATTTCTTGGCAAATGGTAAAGCACTAGAGGAACATTAATGACTGTTATTCGTCATCATTTGGTCCACTTTGTTCTTACCACTTAGGTCTTCAGTAAACTATGTCACTGCTGACACATTCCTGTTA